AAAATTTATAAAAAGGTTTTTATACCTTCAACTTTGAATGGCTATATCTCCCTTAATATGCATTTTTGATAAAGGGGTTTTGGGTTTGATACTATACAACTGTTATATGTATTTATGGAAATCTTAGATGTTGGAAAAACGTTATTGATAGGTATTTTTTGTTTTTTGTGATTGTAATGCACAACTAATTAACAAAATCTTAAATCACAAAAAATAGCTATCAATAACGTTTTTCCAACATCTAAGATTCCCATAAATACATATAACAGTAAATTGTTAGTTTTAAATGATACATTACTATTGATTTTATAAAAGAAATTAGATACATGTCTCATATAAGTACCTAGATATGTACAACTGTTGTAAATATCCTTAAAATTCGTTGTTTACCAACTAACTTGCAGAGACTGTCCGAAAACATATACTTTAATACACGAATCAAATAACACAAGAAATCCTATATAAACCTTAAACAGGATTAATCGATTCTTCGTATGTCAACCATCTAATACAAGATAACCACAAATTTGATGATAACTTTAGAATATTACATGTAGTCAATAAAGGTACCAAACTAATTTTAATAAACCTGATATTGTTCTTAATGACCAAATTGAAACCAACAGCTCGCCTTTGCTAAATTTATTTTAAAATGTATACCTGTAATACGAAAAAAAATTATATTTATTAATATTGTAAAAATATATTAGATAGGACTTTCCAAATCTTTAGGTTTTACTGTGTAGCCAAACTATTGTTAATTATTTAAAAACCATAAATAAAATAATAAAACTTTACAACAGTGTTGTTTTTATTCATATATGTTTTATTATTTTACTGAATTGAAATGTTTACAATTTTTACGTAAATCATTACTAAAATGTTTATTTATTGTATCTAATAGGTACAATTTATATTGACAGGGACTTTATGCATTTTATTCCTTCATTCGAATTTCCACTGTTTATTGGGAAACCGGAAAAAACTTAACCCAGGATTTCCTCTCGAAAAACACACAAATCGTGCCACGTTTATTTCCCGACATTTTTAACATTTTCCGGCAATATTCTCAAAAACACCCGTTTGACAGCTGCTTATTAAGAGCTGAATTCTAGTGACGATGATAAGGGCCACGTGGTGGCGCTACTAGCGGGGCTTCTTTAGCGTATTATATTAAATTAATTTTAAAAAGGTTATGCCAAAATGCGTATTGCAGTAATGCAATAATATAAGGTATTATTTTTTGACTCAATCATTTCACGAAGTGGTCTCAGGACCGATCTCAACAAAAAAATATAAAATTTTTGAACATTTTTTTAAAGGTAGTACTAGTTAAAATAACATTAAAATTAAAATCTCAATCTCAAAACTCAATTTTAATATAGTTCTCGGAAAGGGCTATATAGCCCTTTCCGAGAACTATATTAAAATTGAGTTTTTCATTAAAATGATATCCCTCAAATTTAATATGTCAATAGCTATTTTGTTTCAATATTATATTTGGTCCCAGTAAGCTTAGTATAAATACCCTTTATTGATATAATTTGAAAAGAGTAAAAACAAGGAGCGGAGAAAGAAAAAAGAAAAACTCATTTTGTTACAATCCATGGGATATTTAATTAAAGGTATTTAGATTCATTCAATTAATATAGTAAATATTTGAATTATTAACTGTAGGTCTTAAATACTAAGAGAGTCCAAAAGCTTTTAAAAGTTTAAATTAAACTTTATCCTATAATTAAAAAAACAACAATAAATCTTTAAATTAATTAAATATGTTGGCTAGAAACACATCTAGATAACATATATTTATAAAAAAAAATTTAATTGTCGAAATGGTAATAAAAGCATGATGACTTGCTCAGATGATTGTTCAGAAAAAAAAACATTTGACTTTCTTCGATAAATTCAGCCACATGATGAATAATAAGAGTATGGATTTTCTCAGTTATTTTAAGATGGTTAACGGCCTTTGTGAATTTTTAAGAATATAGAAATCTTTTTGATATCAATTATTGACTACCTTTTGAAAAATGTTTGTTTAAAACATGTTATATTTTTTTGTTAAAATCGGTCCTAAGACATTCTAATAAAAAATATTGGAGTTGAGACCCCTGTATAATAAAAAATTAAAAAATACATACAAAGTACATTAATAAATAATTAGTAATATTAATAATTTATTCTGTAAAATTTTCATAAACTATACAACTTTCTTATTATTTTCCTTATCTATGTGTCATAGCTATCTAGATAATCTGACATAATAAATTTTTTCTACTCCCACCTTTAAAACGCCCTTTATCGTACATGTTTCCATGACACTAAGTGACCTTTTAAATACACATTGACAAATTGTGGCTTTATGGCGCTTTAGTCATGGGCTGAAGTTAACAAAAGGTTTTTAGTCACGGGCTGAAGTTAGTTTTAAGTTAGTTGACAGTTGTCAAATGTCATACAATCGTTAAAATAAAGTGCCTTTCTTGTAAAATAATACTAAATGTGAAAATTATTTTATTATCTCAATACAAAAGTATTAAATAGTTTCTCAACAGCAATATTTGAAAAGTTTATATGAAGATTGTACTGACCTTTTAATTTTGCCGGCAGTAAACTATAACTTAAATTCGGGCACGGACTCCACTGTAAAGTGCTCATAAAACATTTTCTTTACTTTCACTGTGAAAAACTGTAAATTTTCAAGAAATACATTTTGATTTATAACCTTTATAATCTCGGCCATTTCAAGCGGATGGACGGGACAAATCACAAAACTGTTTTTATAAAAAAAATTGTAGCTAATTTATTATATATTATTTTTGCATCAAAATTGTCAAAAAAATTCTTCTATTATTAGGGTATACATTAAATAAAAAAAATCGCAAGAAATATTTTATAAAAGTAGAGATAATTTCAATAATTGACAGGGATGGACGGGACAAGATAAATCTTTTTTTTGTCCCGTCCACACCTTTCAATTATTAAAATTATATCTACTTTCATAAAATATTTCTTGAGTTTTTTTTTATTTAATGTATAACCTAATAAAAGAAGAATATTTTTGCCAATTTTGATGCCAAAATATTATGTAATAAATAATCTACAATTTTTTTTATAAAAACAGTTTTGTAATTCGTGCGTTTCGCGCGCTTGAAATGGCCGATCTGTGTTTATAAAATACAAAAATTTAACATTTGACGGTGACACACAGATTCCCCTATTGTATCATAGATGGCGCTAAATCATTTTAAGATAATAATAAGTATTTGTCGTAGAAAAAGTATGGTATGCACCTCGTTTATAAACTTTTCTATACACTCATTAATTTAAGCACTCGCTCGCAATCTCTCTCGTGCTTAAATTAAATTCGTGTATAAAATGGCGTTTATCAAACTTGATACATAATATACCAGTTACCAATCCAAACATCGCCAAAACCCCTACAAAGACTTAACCAACCCACATCAAACGCCCTTATCGTCCCAGTTAAACTGGGCCAGTTTACCAACGTATCAATAAGAGCAGAGACCAAAAGTGGAAAAGAATACCTATGGCTCCACCAAATCAATCCCAAATGTTGAGATTGTTGGTTAAAAATTAATACAATCAAATCAAATCAAATAAAATGTTCGCCTATATATATATATATATATATATATATATATATATATATATATACTGCCTTTGCAGATAATACAATTTACATATAACTGTGGTAATTAGTCATTTTTGACTAATTCATTTTTAGAAAGTGTACATTATACATACTTTGGTCCTGAGCTATAAAAATACAAATACAAATTTATAATAGTAATTTACGTGTCAAGCTTTGTAAATGAATCTCTACGGGCGAGCTGGGAGTTTGTGGGGTGAGCGATGCAGGAGCGAACCCCATAATTCAGTGAGCCTAGTAAAGATTAATTGCAAAGCATGACACGTACAAACTTTTATTTTCACCTTAAGATAACGATTTTCAAATTTAAAATTTCAATTAATGTGTCAAATGTGTCATTTCATTTCATAAATTGCTTTTCTACAGGCCTGTAAAACTTTACAGGTCTTTTATACAAGCCCGTAAAATATTACAGGTCTGTTCCCATAATGTATCGTTTACTTGGATACAAAAACAACAAAATTAACCTATAAAATGTCATTTACTAAGAAGGTGGAAATAAAATTATTTATTTTAAACATTATGTAACTACATAAAATAATAACAATTCTGAAATAGTTAATAATTTTACCTATTTACTTGTTATTAAACCTATAGTCTATAATATATTATATTATACTATATATTATATAATTTAAAACAGACTTCCAAACAAAATGTTTTGATGCTTACGATATTTTGGGCAAAAAGTCATCCATATAATAAACGAAAATACTCGTATATATTACTCGTGAATTTCACGAGTATTTGTTACGAGTACATTGAATTTGGTTTGTAAGTACGAGTAATAAGTATTTCAAATGAAAAATACTTATGAGTAAAAAAGTATTCGAAGTTTTTTACTCGTAATTGAAATACGAGTAAAAGTACTCAGTACTTGACCAGCTCTGATTGTGACGCTCCTCGCGAATCAGTTGTGAGATTTTCATTTTTCTATATGTGTTTGTGTAAATTGAAAATTTCAACATAAGTTGGTTAAAAAAATTATACAGTAAATATGATCTTTAGCAAATGTTTTGTTGTTTATTATTGTACCTTTTTGTCAGGTAAATTAAGAATGATTCTAGTTTTGGAGCTTTCTCATAATGCCATGTAACCAAATGAACAGTATATTATTTTCAATATAACCTAATTAATTTATAACAAATAAAACCAATTTTTTAAGCAAACATATATTTACAATTTTTAAGATTTGACAAGTCACAAAAATAAAAAATCACAGTAATACCTGTACTAACTTTTCTAGGAAGTTATTTTAGATTAAAATTAATTAAACTATTTATTATTTATATACTTTTTAAAACTTAATATTATTATTGTTAAAGTCAATAAACAGTAGGTATATACATATACATATTTCTTAAAGATAATAAATATTAATACAAAAATATTTTCTTTAAAAATAAAACATCACACAAAATAACTTAAAAAGTCTAGTAACTACAGTTATAAGATTTAAAATCGTATAAAATATGATTCTTTCAAAAATTATTTAAATGCTGGTTTCGAAAAATTCTGTATTGGCTAGCTACAGTTTTTTAAACAGATCCAATTTCCATATATAAAATTAATTAAAAAGGTTATGCCAAATGGGATGATGACCAGCATTTGCGAAGGCACATAATTTCCGAAGGAATGCAAATTTAATATATACCCTGTATAATAAATAATTACAAAATATTACTACTACTTTTGAACAAATAATTCGTAGTATTAATAATGTATTTACTATTAAAAAAATCTGTGTTATAATTACGGTAATAATAATTGAAAAAAATAAATAGATTAAAGATATTTTTCTCACAATGTCCTCTAACAATTTTTAGTTACTTTAAAATATCACAGAAAATCGATACTCTCTAAACTATGCAACTTTCTTATTATTTTTTTTCTCCATGTGTCATCGACAATATGGCATAATAACTTCCAGTTACCAACCCAAACATAGCCAAAAACCCTATGAAGATGTTCTTTCCCAACTTCCAATAGCAAACGCCCTTATCGTCCCAGTTTACCAACGTATCAATAACAGCAGGGACCAAAAGACCCAAAGTGGAAAAGAATATGGCTCCTACCAAATCAATTAAAGGCCCCAAATGTTCGCCTGCCGCGATTGCAATACATGTAATGAAAATTACGATGGCTGTCCTGATGAAGATCTGACTGATATTGTGGCGCTCTTCGCGAATAAGTGGTGAGATTTTTCTCCATGTTATGTCCATTGGGACGTAAAATTGCAACATAAACGTGAAGAAGACCGCTATAGATATGAAGGCTTGTGCTACTTGGGCTGGACTAAAAGAATTTGTTAGTTTCAAATTATTATTTGTTGTTTATTTTGCTTACATTTCTTTTTCTGGTAAATTAAGTGTGATTGTGGCTTTGGTGCTTTCTCCATATGCCATGTAACCAAAGAAACCAATGGATGAGTAAAGGATTATTACAAAGCCCATGGCTACGTTTAGAACACCTGGGCACCCGATGAATTTGGGGGTGACCATTGAGTTTTCAACAGGCATGATAGTACCAATTCCTGTAAAAATTAAAGAAGACCTTAAGCTACAGTACCACATGGGGTCCCTTAAAAATGTATTTTTGTAATAATAAAATATAGAATAAATTGTGTTTAAGAGTGAATTAATCAGATATTATATACAAGTTTTTGTTTATAAGAACACTAGTCTTACCTTCCATGGCAAAAATGACAGTGCTAAAGAACACTGGCAATCCAGCGATACCCTTGGCCAAGGAAACATCTTCAGCCTTGGAGTTTTCCACGCGATCAAACATGTAGTAAACGGTTATTCCAAAAGCAGCTACCATGGTGATATTGGCAATAAAGGAAAATGGCACAAGGTGCTTTAGTTGCCTTACTTGACAGAAGAGGATGAGAGGGATCATAATGCATACCATGTAGTATCTTTCAGACCAATCGGCCAGGTCTGGAAAGACGTTCCTTATTAACTAAAAATTAGAAGAAGAAATGTTAGTTATAATAAATAAAGATATATAAATTTATAAATGATGTCATTTATGTTATGTATTTACATAATGTACCTATGTAAAAAATCAAAAACATTCCTGTTTATAATTATTATTTAGGATATTATTTTTAGCAACAAATTTTTTTTTGCAATAATTTTTATATTATAATACCTTTAGGTAAGTCTGGATGGTAAAAATGTCTCACTATTGTTATTTTGGAAAATATAAGAGATACATGGTAGGAATCTTGTTTGTTTTTGATTTATTGAGAAAAAACGGAAAAATTTGATTTTCTATTAAAATTCATACCTCTTTTACCCTTCTAGCTGTTTTGATGAAACTTAGTGGTTTTTAATTTTTGACAGCTTTCAATTTAATGGCATTGTCAATTTTGTATGGCTTTTCAGATATGTAAGTATTGTTACCTATCTAATTATGCCGAAAATTTTTGTAAAAAGTTCATAAAATCGCATAGGCTGAAAACAAAAAATATATCGACCCATGCAACGAAGACTATTGTAACTCAGTTTTGATTGTAGACTAGAGTAACTCAACTTAATATAGTTTTTCCTGTAGGAATGTGGATTATTACACTTACTATACAGGGAAGTTGTTCACTGGTTGCCTATCGTTTCATGTCTGAGTTACTGTAATCTTCCACCAAATAGAGCTTGAAAAAATCTTTTAATGCCATATAGGAAGTCAAAACCCACGTTTTTTGAGTTACTATAGTCTCCGTTGCATGGGTCGATATATTTTTTTATCTAGTAGTGTCAAAAACCAATATGAAATTGAAAAGTTGACTATTGGTGCTCATAATTTAAAATTTAAATTTTTCGACAATTCCATTAAATTGACAGCTGTTAAAAATACATGAATTTTAATAGAAAATGACATTTTTCAGTTTCAATAAATCAAGAACGAATCCAAGATATCCAAGATTCCAGCCATATTCTTAATCGTCATAAAATAACGCAACTTTTCTCTAATTTATCCTTTTCTATCTCTTATAGTTTTCAAGATAGCAATAGTGAGCCACGAAAGTTTCACCACCCTTTATAGAAAGACTTCATATTAATGCTAGTTCAAGTCAAATTATCATTTAACTGTACAGATATAAAGCTAAAATGTCATTATGTCAGTTAAACCTAACCTTAATAAAGAGTTTTTTGTCTATGCCAAAACAAAATTTTGTTTTATGTCTCGTATAAAAGCTACTGGCCCTCCGAAAAGCTTTTGCTGACCAGGTATTTTATCCTAAATCCCCCACGTACCTACTATATGAAGGCAAAACAATTATTTTCAAATGTATAAAAATGTAAAAATGCATCATAATATTCCTAGGATAATATTCATATAAAAGCGATATATTCTCGAAAACGGTCATTGTCAAATAAAACCTAAAAACGATAGTTTATGTTGATATAAAGTTATAAAGTTATAAAGTGCTCTTTTAGTTCCACCCTTACATCCAAACTAAGATGTCCCATAAGCCAACTGAATGGCTTGTGCGGGTTAGGGGTAGGAACGGACCGACGGCTTAAAGTCCCCTCCGAAGGAGGGATAATTTATATTTAATGGATTAATTTAAATGGTTTTATTTTAAAATATTCAGTATTACAAGTAATAAGAAAACCGCTTTTACAAGTATTTTGCCCTTTTAACAAAAACAGCTGCAGTTTGACATAAGTCCACATAGTTGATAGTTAAAAAATACTTACTTGTCTAAGTGATGAACTAATAAATACTATATACACTGCATTGCCTACATAGTAGGTCATCAAAAGGGCGATCTCGACAAAATTTCTGAAAAAAAGATGTACAATTGTAAAAAAAATCAGATTTATTTAATATTGTTTGGAAAACTTGCAAATGCGCTAGGATTAATATTTTCTAAAACAAATATTTGTGTACTTAATACAAAATATTAATATTATAATACATATTTGTAAATTATGTATGCTGTAAATAATCTTCACTATTTATTAATTATTTTAAAATGGTGTCAATTTTACACATAATAAAATACATTCTGTAAAAAAAGTACTCAAATTATTGTATTTATAAAAATAGTAATCAAAATATTAAGCAAAGAAAAGGCGACTTGTTTTTTTTTTTCGTTGAATATTCCCAGGAAAATGTGTCTTATTCTGGTTGTCCTCGTTAATATAATTATAATTAAAATTGACAATGGAAAATAAATGGTAATACAATTTTTTTGTTTTATACAAAACCATTTGTATCTTTATTGTTTATTGTAAAATTTGCTAAAAAAATCCGGGTATTTTATGTAAATGTATATTTTATTCAATTATACCTACATAAAATACTAGGGACCTAGCATCCTAAAATCAAATTTTACAGAACAGACGACTTGAAAAATTGGTAGCAATGTCATTTTTTTTAGATGAACAAATTCTATGCTGATAATCTCAAAAATTAATTTTTTCCACTCCCACCTTTAAAACGCCCATTATAGTATATTTTTCCATGACACTAAGTGACCTTTTAAATACAAATTGACAAGTTGGGGCTTTATGGTGTTTTAGTCACGGACTGAAGTTAGCATCAGGTTTTTAGTCACGGGCTAAAGTTAGTTTTAAGTTAGTTGGCAGTTGTTAAATGTCATACAATCGTTAAAATAAAGTGCCTTTCTGGTAAAATAATACTAAATGTGAAAATTATTTTATTATATCAATACAAAGATACAAAAGTATTAAATAGTTTCTCAACGCCAATATTTGAAAAGTTTATATGAACATTGTACTGACCTTTTAATTTCGCCGGCAGTAAACTATAACTTAAATTCGGGCACGGACTCCACTGTAAAGTGCTCATAAAATATTTTCTTTACTTTTACTGTGAAAAACTGTCAATTTAAAAAAAATACATTTCGATTTATAACCTTTATAATCTGTGTTTATAAAATATAAAAATTTAACATTTGACGGTGACACACAGATTCCCCTATTGTTTCATAGATGGCGCTCCATACAATTTTTTTGATTTAAATCATTTTAAGATAATAATAAGTATTTGTCGTAAATAAAAGTATAGTATGCACCTCGTTTATAAACTTTTCTATAAACTCATTAATTTAAGCACTCGCTCGCAAGCTCGCTCGTGCCTAAATTAAATTCGTGTATAAAATGGCGTTTATCAAACTTGATACATAATATACTATTAAAGGTTTTTTTTGGACTGCGTCACATACTATACTGATGCATCATAATTTTATATTTGGATAGGAAAACTATGATACACATGGGCGCCGGCACGGGAGGCATAAGGGGGCAGTTGCCCCTGCTTACAATTTAAAATACTATACAAAAGCACATTTGAATATTAAAAAATACAGGGTGATTTATACCACGAGGCGAAAAATCTTTAAAAAGTTTATACAGACCTTTTTATTTTAGTAAATTGATATTTGCCAATAAAGCCTTAAAAATGTCGGGTGAAGTACCCATAAAACATCCTCTTCTCTTTCACCGTGAAAAACTGGTTCTATATCATGTTTAAACGGTTGTAGTCCATTTTTAAGGGATATATTTTGATTTTTACAGAAAATTTGACAAAAACAGCAACTCTGACAGTTGGCAAAACAAATTTCCAAGTTAGAAATAGTAACATTAGCTTCGTTCTCGTCTATTTTTGTATAGATTTTGGACGATTTATTTTGAGTTATTTTATAGATAATAATATTTGTCGTAGAAAAAGTATAGTAAACTTCTCTAGACACTCGTTTTATTAAACACTCGCTCGCAAGCTGGCTCCTGTATGATTTAAATTCGTTAATTAAATTATATATCTATTATTAGATTAGATATACGACTAAAATTGCGTTTATCAACCTTGATAAATGTCAATGAACATTTTAATGTGTTTACAAAAGTTCTTGGTAAAAACATAAATAAAATAAAAAAGTTATGTGAAAAAAATTGCCAAACCAAATATTAATTATTGACTTAATTAATATCCTGTTAAATGTTTTTTCTTCTAAGAATTTGCACCTGTTGTCGTCACGTTGATATATTAGGTTAAAGAATGTAGGTAATAGAAATAATAATAATAATAATAAGGAAGTTAAAATAAAACCTTTCACTTATTAAAAATATGCTTAACCGTGATGTCATTAAAGAACCTTGGCTCCACCGTAGAATTAGTAGTACTTCTAATTACGAACAAGAACTTACATATTTAGTACTTATTGGTAATTAAGTATGTATTAATTAGTATTAAGTATGTAATTATTTACTTCTTTGTTTAAAATATTCGAGACAATCATTTTATCATATTTGTAGAATATATAACAACAAATAATACCTACACATGCTATTTTGTTTGAATAGTACTAAAATTTAAAAAAAACATAAATACCTACTTCATTTTTCTGATGCAATTCACATAAATTTTAATTTTTTTAAATGTATACATATTTAAAAAATTAAAAGTCAAGTGAATTGCATCAGAAAAATGAAGTAGGTATTTATGTTTTTTAAATAAAAGATAAATATCTAGTATTGGTTAATTTCAAAAAAATATTATCTACGCATGTTATTTTGTATGTATGGTATGTTAAAAATGTAAGTTATTAGAATTGCATCAGAAATGTCACGTATTTTAAATTTTTTAAATTTTAAGATAGGCATGAAAAATAGTATATGTACATATAAAGTTAAATGCCATTTTAGTTACGAGTTTAATTAAGCACAAGGAAACATGTACGATACTGGGCGTTTTAAAGGTGGAAGTTGAAAAAATATTTTAAAGGATAAATATCATCATGAGTGCGAGTGTCTTAACAACCCATTAAATATAAGTTCTGCAACTTTCAAAATAAAGTAGAAAATTAACTTTAAAAATACAAGTACCTACCTTAAAATTAAAAAGCAAATAGTTTATTTGCAAATACAAATACCTGTGTCAACTACTATTACCCTGCCAACGACTGCAGTCTTTACCCTAATTACAAAATTCAAATGTAGTATCAAATTGTTTATATAACATTAAAATTTTAGTTCTTTATTTCGTCACATAATTACCATAAAACATTTATTTTAATATATTCCCCTCTTGTAATATTAACATCCCTTTTATGTATCAGCTATATAACAATATTATATACCTAGGATTATATATCTACATTTAAAACTTCTAATAATGGTTTTTGACAAAGCTTATCAGAATTAACGTGTCAAAATGTTTAGGTTTGTTCCACATCATTTATGTAAATTTGAAACTACTGATTGTTCAATTGTAGACCTCTATTTACTAAACGAAGAGGTTTTTCTATTTAGGCTGCAGTTTTGGCATCTCTATTGTCGTTATCAGCCAATATACATTGAAACAATGATACATAAATATTACAGAGTAATGTTTTATAGTATTTATATAACCTTATTATATAAAATGTATAAACCAATCCGTTGAAAAATAAATTAGGTTACCTTATTAAATCTATCTATTTCTTATACATATATGTTAATGAGTTGTATTATGAGATGTGTCTTATCGACAAACGACGAAACGGTTGTGTTGAGTGCTCTCTATTTGTTTTGAAAGTGTATGTGGTTGATGTTTATATTTTTATAATAAAATGGAACAAAAAAAATATTCAAAAGCTGAGGAGAATTAATACATGATACAATGGGTCTGGAGTAAGGGGGAACTTGAGAAGTAAAATTATTTATAGGTAATCTAGAAATAGATAGATAATTAGGTAACCTAATATAGGTTTAAACAAATTGCTTGGTATTTTTTTACCCATTGTATATTAGGTTTTTTTACCTTTAAATTAAATATTATAATTAAATTTGCTAATTTAAATTTTTAAAGTATTATTAAATAAGCTAATAAACATTTGTTGCTTTTATGCTTTAAATAAATAACTACTCACAATAACTACTCGTTAAACCCATTATAAAAATGTTCTACCCATAAAATTAAAAAAAACTTTAATATCAAAATTGTAACAAAACAAAATTACTCGTAATCCTTATAAAAGAAAATTCTATTGGGTTAAAAAAAAGTTAATAAAAAGCCCCGAATTATTAATTTATTTTTAGCTCGGCTTAACAAAACAATAATTTAAAAATAATTATTAAGTTTGGTTTATATATTCTCGTGTAACTAGTGTTTTAGGGCTTTTTTAATTAATTTTTTGAACATCCTATATATCATGTAATAGGAAAATTAATATATTTTTAAAGGCAAAATATAATTATTTGAAATTATCATTTAAAAAAACTGGCCCTTTTTCAGCAACACTCTATAGGCGAGACACATAAAAAAATTATGTTAAAAAAATTTAACAAAGGGAAAGGCAAGGAAATGATTTTAATCATTAATTCCGCGACAATTTAAATTAGCTCACAAAGGATTTAAATTGGCATGCTTGTATCGTGTGATCAGACCTGCACCCATATTAAACAACCTCTAAACCATCCAAACAGGTCAAAAAAATCATCACTGCTAAAAATGTAAGGTCAGTTATTTCAAATTTAACAAACGCGATAATTAAGAACATTTATAAAATGTTTCTATGATTTTTGTTATTTTTAGTCAAAAACCTCCTAGGTTGTAAAAATAATTTTCACCAATCGGGTAAAGTTTTTTAACTCCCAGTCTGTAAAAAACCCGTTTTGACAATCATCAAAAAATCGACTACTGTCGGATATCTGAATGAAATTTTACTCTAAAGATAAAATTCTTCGCTCAACTGTAGGCCTTCGCTACGCGCCGGCATTAAAACTTTGAACTCGCTTCTGAGCCATCAAATGAAATGCTAAAATCGTTTGTATCGT